GTGTAGAGGATCCTGTAACCCTGGAACAGCCACATGCAATATAGATGTTGTGGTTTCAAGTAGAGTTGATTTGTTAAGAAGTATCAATATACAAAATGACAAACAAAAGTAAATACAATGCAACTGTCATGCAAGAAGTAGGTAAGTGATACTATGCTGCTACAACCCTATTATGCTGATCTGGGAGTTTCAGCTGCAGCTATGCAGCTTTCTCATATTTTCCTTGCTTTGAATATGTTGTTGCAAGATTACTCATGCTGACCAAGGTAGCTGGATGTTCTGGCCCCAGCACTCTGTTATGCAGATCCAGGACTTTCAGCTGCAGCTCCCCAGCCTCCTCAGATTTTCCTTGTCCCAAATATGTTGATGCAAGATTATTCATGCTACCCAAGGTATCTGGATGTTCTGGCCCCAGTACTCTGTTACGCAGATCCAGGACTTTCAGCTGCAGCTCCCCAGCCTCCTCATATTTTCCTTGATTTGAATATGTCAATGCAAGATTATTCATGCTACTCAAAGTATTGGGATGTTCTGGCCCCCACTTCTTTATCCCTACTTCTACAATTTTATATTGAAAATATTCTGCATCTTTCCACATTCCATCTTTATCGAACACATAACTAAACTTAGAATATTCCTTATCATTAAACACTCTTTCAAAGCCATTTTCCTTCTGTAATTGGTAAATGGCTTTGATGTGTGGCACAAGATGCCTGTTGAATGCAATGTTCTCAGCTGTCATCTCCTCTGTGATACAGTTCACAAGAATTAATTTTGACACTTGCATCATGCACTTCTTTTGAGATATTGACATTCTATCTCTACTCCATTGATGCATCAATGGATGAATGGCATAAGTTCCTACAGAGGTTGAGTGCTGCTTGATTAAAGAAAACAACATAAGAACCCTAACTCCTTCATGAAAGGAGAATTAATTCCAAGACTGATCTTTTTCAAGCTGAAGCAATTTATTCATATGTGTTTCAACTTCTTCTTCTACACTGACTGGGCAAAAAGAATGTCCCATCATTTTTTGGACAAAGTGAGTCCTGTAACACAAGAACCAAACATTTTGAGAACTATAGTCTGGTGTATGAAACATAGCCAAAAAGGTGTAGATTGTACATACCAAGTCTGGGGATGAACAAGTGAAAAGTCATGATAAGGCAGGGAATTGACTGTGACAAGTGCCACAAATGGGATGTAACAGAGTGGGAAATTCTGAATGACTGCAACCTACTGAAAGCAATTCACAACTTGAGGAAGAGATATTTTAAACACTGGATCTCCCTGCTATTGTTATAAGCTTCATAAAGTCTCTGGGCTAGAAAATTTTATATCCTCCTCTAAAAGGTAAATTTGAACCTGTTCTCCATTTTATGTATTTTTCACTCAATATATTTGTTGGAATGAGGTAAAATGACTCCCCATCAATGTTTGTAGTGTGTATAATACAAAAGGTTGGTAGAAATATTAAAATGAACATTGCATGATGTCTGTAGAAGCTAATTTCCAGAGTTTTTCTGGAAGTAAACAAGTATCTACAACATTGGTCCTTCTTTTCTGCAAGAAGAAAAAATGCTACCATCCTTTTGAATTGATTCATGGAGACTCAGGATGTCTTTTAAACAATGCCTAAAGTATAGCATGATAGCAAATAAATTTACACTGGGTATAACTTGAAAAGTCCCAAATAAAAGTACATCTTGCATAGAGCAATCATCCTGGACCAATCCTTAACATTGT